ACCCAAGCGAAAACCTGGGCACCTGCTTCCAGGAGGATGGCGACGCAGTCTGCGCTGCCTCAGGGGCTCGGGGAAGACTGAGGGCTGAAATTTTAGGGTTTGAAGGTGGTCTTAAGGTTTAGGGTTTTACTTGTAAGTGTTTTTAAAGTCAGTCTTTGGGGGGGTTTAAGGTTTTAAGGTGGTTGTACGGTTTTTGAAGGGGTTTACGGTTTCTGGAGGGTTTAGGGCTTGTAGGGGGTCTAGGCCGGGACTCCCCAAATGGCCCTTTAATGGAGCCCTTATGGTCCTTAATCGTGGGTATTTAGGGTATATCAGACTGCAGTTGGGTAGGTCTAAAAAATCTATAGAGTTAAGGGTTTGGAAGGGTTTAGATTAGAAGCTGCCCCCACCCTGTAATGGTGACTATAAGGAATATATTAGGGCCCTATTATATTCCTATTATACCACTATTACAGGGTGGGGGCCCCTTCTAAGGCTTAGAGCTTAGGGTGCAGAGCCAGTTTAGGGTTTCTCAAAATGTAGGGCCAGCCTACGGTTTCAATCAACGGGTTTCAGATGGTTTCTACAGGATGTAAGTTTTGCTTACGGAGTTTTGAAGGGTTGACGTGATACTTCATTTTGTAGCATTCACAGGCTATCAAAAGGTTTCAAAGGTTTGCATAGGGCTTGAGTGGATTCTTTCAAGGCTTCATAGGGGCTTCGTGCGCGATTTGCGGCGTCTTCATGCAATGTTGTCAAAGGACCCATCAACAAGGCCAGTTGCAAGAGCATAACACAGCTGTATAAGGCACACGTGACATGAACTTGTCCGAAAGGAGCACGAAGTTAGGTTTTGCCCGAGTATAGGGGCCTGAATAGATAGAATAGGGTTTTGGGGCCCATTAATTATGCGATAGTTATAGCAAGGAACCCACAAAGAGTAGTCGAAGTTATTTAGGCAACTATACAGTAGAAGCCCAAAAGTTGGAAACCCAAAAGCCTCAATCCTTATAAGAGTAATGTATAGGGAATCCCAGCTCTTTTTGGCCGTAATCCGGTTTCCAACTTTATGGGGTTTACTGTAGTAGACCACAACTAGTATACCCAATAACCTAAGTATAAGAAGGCCTCTCTTTTTGGTATTGGGTAACTTTATAAGGAAACTAGGACTACAAAAAGGGAATGAGGGTACTACTGGGCATCCTAGACAAGCCAAGCCAGTTGCAAGGGAAGGCCTCGAGTTGGGGGTGTGTTAGCTTTCGCTGGGGAATCTTTGAGCCCTCTTCATCGAGGGAACAAGTCTAATACAGGGGCCTTGATAATTAGAATACGGTTTTGCAGCCCATTATACTATAATTAGAATAAGAGGAACCCCCAAAATAGTGTTGGTAATTATTTCGGCGCTATAGTATACCCTTAACAACAAAACTGAAGTCCCAAACCCTGAACCCCAATGCCCTAAACCCTCACCTCCCTGTCCTGAGACCCCAAACCCCAAACCCAAAGCCTGTACGAAAAGGCCCAGAACCCTCGAACTATCTCAAGGCCAAGTGCCGTGGTAGGCAGCCCGGAGAAGCGCGAAATCGCCCCGGTCGTCGCGGAGGTTTGGGTCGACCTTGGGAGAAATTAGAATGGGGTTTTGGGGCCCATTATACTATGATTATGATAAGGAACCCAAGATAGTTTTGATACTTCACCTTTCACTTTCAACTTTCCCACGGGTGGTCACGAGCGTCAATGAAGATCACAGGAGGACCCTATAAGGGCTTATAGGGTTTGGGAAACGGACGACATGGAATTGAAGGTTTGAGGCTTGGTGCCTGGAGTTTCGGGTTTAAGGGTATTTGGGTTTGCAAGTTGGGGGTCTTATCGGGCTCTGTGCGAACTCGACAAGTAGATTTGGCTTCATAAGGGGCGTAGACATCTCAACACAACGCCCCGGAGGGCAAAAACCCTCAAGCCCTAAAACACTAAACCTATAACCCTTGAACCCCTAAACCCCTAATCCAAACCGCAAAACCTCAGCCATAAACACCTTATTCCAAGCCCATAAACCTCGAACCTTGAGCCTCCATGTCTCTTCTAAGTTGACGATTTGGTACGATGGACGCAGGATCTGGGTTCGCAGGCTGCTGGACCTAGAAGGGTTTAGGAGTTGGGCTGAGGCTTGAGGGTTAGAGGTTTCAGGATCTGGTTTTGCTGTTTTACGAAAGTTCGGACTTTCGCTTCTCCTAAGAAAACAAGTCTGCGAATGTGTGTAATTACATAGATAACTGCATGTTCTTTATTCACTCTATGTCTTGACCCCAACGATTACCGCGGCTTCCACCTAGACCGTGGAACGTACGACCTGTTTTATATGACGTAATCGAAAGCGGAATTCTGGGCTTTGAAGCAATGATGAAAAAAAGGGTATGGACTGTCACCTCATAATGGTTCCCTTTAAGTAAGAGGGTCCCAACGACAAGCATTAAAGTATGGTACTCCGAAGCCCAGAATTATTGACTTTTGATAGCATGTGGCACCTTGCTTGAGATAACTTAATGGAAATGCAGAATCATTGCATCCTGATCGATTTTCAACCCTAAACCTTGAAAACCCAAGTCCAAAAGTGGGTAAACCCTAAACCCTAAGCCAACCCCTAAACCCTAGACCCCTAAACCCCTAAACTCTAAACCCCTAAACCCTAAACCCCTAAACCCCTAAACACATGGCCCATAACCCCTAAACCCCTAAACCTCAAAACCCTAAACCCCTAAACCCTAAACCCTAAACCCTCTCGGGCCAGAAGACCGGCCCATGCAGCAGCGCAGAGACAGCATACAGGTCGTCCCTGCCCGCAGCAGCGATCAGAGCCTTTGCCGGGAAGTCTTGCTTGGAGGGTCGGGGGACTTACTAAGCAGGTATTTTAGAGAGTTATAAGTACCATAACTCCGATTAGGGTTCTTTTTAGGGTACTTATAACTCTGCTTATTTCCTACTTACTAAGTCCCCCGACCCTCCAAGTGGGCTAAAGGAAAAGCATCAGGGTACGTTAAAGTTACTGTAAGGTTGTTTGGGGTTATATACATAGGGGTGTTTTCAGGTACTGTAACGGTACTATACGGATACTGCAAGAATATTTTTAGGTTACTATAAGGACACAATAAGGGCCACTGCAAGGGGCCTATAAGGGATTTCAAGGTTCAGAACCTATGAGATCCCGAGCCCTAAGCCCTCGCCTGGGCGTCAGCAAGATCGGCTGCGCGGTAGGGCAGCAGAACCTTGGACACACTACTGTTGAAGATCTAAAACCTGCATTACCCATAGTAAGGAATATACCATAGTTCCCATAGTTTAGGGTCCTCAAGGTAATGCAGGATTTATATCATCCACCGTAGCATCCTTGTCTTGCCAAGGCTGAACCCTAAACTACCCTCGGCCCGCAACCTGAAATCCTAAACCCTCCACCTTTGAACCTAGAGAGTCTACACATGAGCATTGAACCGTGTGCCCTGAGTCCTTAAGCCCTGAAACCTTCGTGATCACGTGAAGCGGCTCTTGAAGCCTGGGTGCCTGAATGGGGGTTTCCGAACATTAGGGGTACCCTATTTGGGGATCCTTATAATAAGGATCCTGCTATCTAGGGTACTACATCAGAAGCCCGGTGACAAAGCTTGGAAAGATGAAGGACCTAAGAGCAATGCAGGGGCCGTGATAATTGAAACAGGTTTTTGTCTATACTACAGTCGAGTTCTTACAAGGAGCACTAAGGAATGGTACTCCTTAAAGGGTCATGGGACTTAGTAACTAGGGTTATTATTAGGGTAACTATACTTATAACCCCAATTAGGGTACTAATAACCTTACTTACTAAGTCCCATGATCCTCCAAGTATTCATGCTTTAGTCTAAACTAGCCAATAGAACCCTAAGGGTCGAAATGCCCAAGTTGCAGGGTTTCAGAGTCCAAAAACCATTCAGAATACGGATTTTTGGGGGCAGTTTGGTTACTTGGACCTTCTGGGGAACAGAAGATTCAAGGCCTTTGGAGAGTGGAGGCTGTAGTTCCCAGGGGGTCCATCTACAATAATACCATTATGGAATTAGGTCCCCCAAAACCATAATAGGGATGGTTTTTAGGACCTAATTCCATAACCCTAAGGGTCCATGTACCCATATAGAGATACATGGGCCCCAATGTACCTACATAGGGACTACATTAAGGCCAATGTATATACTATATGAGTACATGGACCCTTAGGGTAATGGTAGTGTATATGGACCCTCTGTAGTTGTCAGGGTCCCAACTTGCCACTCGCGATGTGCTTCCGCCAGCCAAGACATCAAGGCGGGGATCGGCGAGGACTCTTTGCACCCCAAAACCCTCAGGGTAGTCGCATCGTAGCCTCATGCTGCCCTTTTCGTAACCTTTGAAAAACCCCTTAGGGTAGCTTTCGGGAGATGTGGGAGCTCGGTTAAGATCGAACAGCTCAGGGAGGTGTTCGGTGGAGTCCGAGACCGGAAGCCTCAAACCACATTCTTGGATTGTCAGCGAAACCCAATCATACTGGAAAACAAGTTATACGACCCTACGGAGCAGAATCGACAATGTGTACAAAACTCGACAATTCTATCATAAATCGCCCAGGATGCCAGCTGCAACGTGCACGGCAACCTCAAAGAAGCTGCATCACTCAGCGCCGCATCTTCGTCCAGAAGTCGGAGGGTGAAATGCGGCCGCGAAACCTTCTGCTTTATGGGCTTAGGCTGCGGGGCTTTAGGGGTGTGGGGTTACTTAGAGGATCATGGGACTTAGTAAGTAGGTTATAACTGGGGTTATAAGTCCCCTAAGTGGGGTTATCCTAATTATAACCTACTTATAACCTTACTTTATAAGTCCCATGAGCCTTCAAGTAGGGTCTATCCACTGAGTATTTAAAATGCTTCCGGATTTTGGTGCTTTTAGGGGTGTCGGGTTAGGAGGTTGATCTGGGAAGGGGAAACCTTGCGGATGGAGGAACCTTTTCCCCCTTCCTTTGGCATACTATACCGTAATCATTATGTAGCAATTCCCCTTTTAAGTTATGTAATCCCCTCAGTCCTGATACAACTACATAGCACGCATTAAGTCCGCAACCCTTTTCTACTGACAGATGTTGGGACGTTTCTATACATGAAATACTGACCATAGAATGCCATAGGTACCAATAGTCGCCGTTGTGATCCTTTTTTGGGGTTACCTGATAGGATTGTAAACTCAAAATGGGTCAAGCCGACGGAAAAACTATGCAGGCAATAGGTAATATATAGGGGCCTTAATAATTATGACAGGGTTTTCTTTTAACAAGGAACCTCCAAATAGTATAGGTGATTATTTAAGGCCCCTATACAACACCCCGCAATACACCTTGTGGTAATCCTTGAAGGAACACTTCGGTGATTATTCAGGCCCCTCTATTGGAGCCTCCGGGGTGCTAGTGACGACTCGTACTTAGAATTCCAGGAAGAGCACCTAATTCCTGACAGGGACCCTGCTGAATAATGCATAAGACTTGGGGTTTAATGCAGGGGCCTTAATTATTAGAATAGGGTTTGCGGGTACATTATACGTACTATAATTATGCGTGAAGTTGTGCGGTTTGGGGTGTAGAGACCATTTTAACAAGCCCCAAACCCTAAACTCCAGAATGCAGCAGATTTCAAGCCTCAGCGTTCTACCACAAACCCACCTCTAACCCAGCAACTCAACCCTCGAACACAAAGCAACATGCCGAAGCCTTCCAAAGCTTTTGAGTTGATGGGTTAAGGATTTAGGGTAAGTCGCGCGTTTGCACAAACTCGTCAACTTGCCTGCAAAAGCGCAACTAGAGCTAACCCATAGCTGGCACTGCTGCCAGGCAGCCGCGCAAGCAAGGTGGCGCTTCAGACCCGATACCCAACCTCTGTTGGCGGGAGGACCCTAAGGGTCCATGTACTCATATAGCTAAGGGATCCTTTAAGGGTGCCATAAGGGATCCTTTAAGGGATCTATAAGGCTTCGATGAGGGTTTAGGGTATAAGGGTCCATGTACTCATATAGTATATACATTGGCCTTAATGTAGTCCCTATATGGGTACATTGGGGGCCCATGTATCTCTATATGGGTACATGGACCCTTAGGGGGAGGTAGCAAATGTTGAGGTTACGGGGTGTGGGGCTAGAGTGTATGGGTCATAGACATTCAATACTCTCTCTTCCCCAGAAGCCGTTGGACAATGTCGTCTCTCTGGGTCAAACTGTTCAGGAGTCTGCGAATCACAGTTCACATAGCGGAATATAAAATGCCAACCCAAGCCTGCTCATCAGCAGAATGGGTTCTCCTTTATCCTTACCACACCCTAACCACGCCAGACAAGCCCTATAGAGGGAGCACAGGTCCGAGGCTACTACCCCAAAGGCTCCACGTACCCTAGTAGATACTTAAGCCTTGAAGGGGTACCTATATGGGTACTTTAAGGTCTAAGTATATACTATGTGGGTACATGGAGCCTTCGGGTAGGAGTCTAGGAGTTTCGCGTAACCAATCCTAATCCAGCGCATCTTAAATGCCTACAACCTCACCCCAAAAACACATGGGTAGTTCTCTAAATGGGGACCCCTTTATTTTAAGGGTCCGTCTAGATTATATATTCTGGGGACCTAAAACGGGGACACCAATGTGGAGAATTACCCAAATGCAGATACGAGGGTATCCGAAGCCCTGGGGCCCTGCGGCCCTAAACCCGTAAACCTACCTGGACCCTATAAAACCTTCCTTTTCAGGGTTCCCTATTATGATTTCAGTTGATATAAGTCCACAAAAAGTAGGTTGTCTGGGTAGGCCCTCCAAACGAAGCCCTAAGCCCTAAACACCGACAGCTGTGTTCCAGGGAGCCGTCGTGCGACGCAGCAAAGCCCGCGACGTCCTTCTCTAGGGCACAGAGTTCGCCGTTAACGGCTCCCTTAAAGGTATTAGATCCCTTTCTAGGATCCCTTATAAAGGATCGCAAGAATCAATGATTCCTTTGAGTAGACCACAAAACCTCTCAAACCCCCGAACCCGACCGGCTTAGGGTCTAGGGTGTAGGGCTTCGACCGCTGTTCAGCCCTAAACGGCCCACCTGTAAGCAACAAGCTTAACCCTAAACCCTAAACCCCTAAACCCCTAAACCCTAAACCCCTAAACCCTAAACCCTAAACTTGTGTCCTGCGCAGTCAACTCTGCCACTGTGCTGCCGCTGGTGAAGCAGACCCGGAGCATGCTTGAGGTTTAGGGATTTAGGGCTTAGGGTCTACTTGAAGGATCACGGGACTTAGTAGCTTAAAGGGTTCCTTAAAGGGATCTATAAAGGGATCTATGGGGGTTAGGGTCTACTTAAAGGATCATGGGACTTAGTAACTTAAAGGGTTCCTTAAAGGGATCTATAAAGGGATCTATGGGGGTTAGGGTCTAGAGTGTCAAGTTTGAAGGTGTTTAGGGTCTACATAGGGTCGAGGTTGTAAAAGCAAGGGGCTTTCAGACCCCGAACTCTACCAGACTGTTATTCCACAGCCATGAGATCAGCAGTCCTCTGCAAATGTGGTCGGCCAGCTGGGAAGCCATAACGGCTGCATCCGAGAAACATTCCTAACTTTAGCTTTGAAGGCTGCATTTATTCCTACTCTAAGACTCTGCTTTGGGGTCTAAAATCTTTTAAAAATACCTACTTTGGGCTATTTGGAGTCCTAGGGCTAAACGGAATTAAAGGGGGGGCGAGAATACAGCAATGCCCAAAATGGGGGGGTTTCCGAAAATAGGGGACCCTAATATAGTACCCTAAGTAGTAGGATCAATGTTATAAGGGCCCCAAAATAAGGTACCCCTAATTTTCGGAAACTCCTAAACCCTAAGCCCTATAGATCCCTTAAAGGAGCCCTTATAGATTCCTTTAAAGGTACCCCTAGTTTTCGGAAACTCCCAAATCTCCAAGCCCAAGCCCAGTACTCTGAGCAACGAAACCCGAAGCTTGGGTTTGGGGTTCCTTGAAAAGGCAAACGGTGGGCCGAGTTCATGACCACGGGGAAAAGTTTTTAGGGTTTTGGGGTATGTTCTACTATAAGTATGACAGTAGCAAGGAGCCCCAGAAAGAGTATGGACATTATTCAAGCACCTTTTTTTGACCGTCAAACACCCACGCTAGTATCAACAGTTGAAGAGCCGCAAGTCTATGCTGGACCTACAACCGCAAATTTTGTTAAATCCTCAGAACACTATCGAAATTTAAACTAACTAAACCCCCAACCCAAATTTCCAAAATGAGAGTGGCTGCACCACTTAGCTTGAGTGCGAAATGACGGTACATCGCAATTTTCGGATCCTACGTGCACTCTGATATTCATGGGAGCATAACCCTAAACCCTATACTCTGCATCGTACCCTCAAGCCTGAACCCTTATCCCGACTTGACTACTTGAGGGTGGTTTGTAGAAGGACAGAAGCAGCTGTTAGGTACCAGGGATCTTCAGGATCTACTTAGATCCTAAATTGCATTGTTACTGGCACCATGGCTTCTTTCTCTATGATCTTAACCTCAAAACGCAAATGCTCCAAGTGACGTTTCGCCACCTCTGTGTTGAAGTCAGCCTGCAGTATCTCGTCGTGAAGCTCATTGATGCGAGACCTGCACGAACGGCAACTCAGAAACATGAACCGTAAACCGTGTGTGCTGTTCTGGGCCGGTTTAAGGCTTTTCGGGCTTTGGGTATCTGAGGCTTGGGCTTTCGGGTCGTTTAGTTCGGGGCTTTGAGAGTAGAACCTTCTGCCAGATCGTATCTACCCCGGTGCAGTTCAAAGCCCCTCAGACCCAACAAGAACAGCGTGCATGCAATAAGTCCTTGGGCGTATACCAAAATGATAACTGAAAGCGATTCCTAAGGGAACAGCCAGAAGACCCATAGACCCTAAACCCAAAGGCACCAGCCAGGAATATGTTTGAACGTCAAAGGCACTAGCGAGGAACCCGAGAGGATTTTTTGAGAGTTGCATCTTTTAGCCCTCATCCCCAAAACCCTCACCCTACACCCCTCAATCCTAAACCGAACTCTGCAGTCGAAGCTCATAGGGCATTGGACTTGGGGCTTCGGCTTTCTGACATCTAACCTGAAACGGCCTTCCCTAAACTCTCTGGTGAACCCTAAGCCCCAAAATCATAGCTTAGTTGCTGAGTTCATATATAAGCCCCCCAAAATGTACACTTTCAGTTTTCTAGTGGATAATATTATCCCCAAATGTGTAAAGTGTATCCACTCAGCTACTAAGATAGACCCAAGCCCCACATCAAACCCTAAAGCCGAGGACCCCGAACCCAGAGCCCCAAGCCTGAAACCCTCAAAACAATAGCACTAACAACAAGAGTAGCAGTAACAATCGGAATGTTAATGATGACAACATTAGCAATACTTTGGAATCATATTGGAATAATAATGAGAAATAGTAGTAAAACTACTGATAACTATCGCCCTAAACCCCTAAATTCTGCTCCCAACCCCAACTCCAAACCGAGGTCGCCAAACCCTCAAGCCCCAAGCCAAAATCCTCAACACCGCAAGAAAAAACCTTAAACCCTACACCCTTTAAACCCTATAAACCCTAAAATCTTATAGACCCTAAACCCTAAATAAACCCTAAACCCTAAAACCCTAGACGCTAAATCCTAAAACCACAAACCCTATAAACCCTAAATCCTCACCAGCCGCAGTCCTCAGCTCCCAAAGCAGCGCCGCACGGAGCCGCACGGAGCGCTCCGCGGGCGTGAGCCGGCGGCTCCTGTGTTTTCGCAGTCTCCAAAGGGACTACTTTCAGGGCTTTTAGGGTTTAGGGTTTCTTTTAAATTGAACTGCACCCTTTCTCGAAAAAGCGCTGGCATATTGCCCTCAACTACTTTCAGGGGTTTCGGGTTTAGGGCTAAGGGGTTTAGGGCGTAGGGTTTAGGATTGCAAGGTTAGATGGGGACTACTTGACGGTTTAAGGGTTCGGACTCAGGGACTGCAAGGCCAAAGTATAGAGCGGGACTATTAAGGTTAGCTAGGGACTACTTTAAGGTTTGAGGTTTAAGGTTATTTAAGGTTTAGGGTTTAGGGTTGAGGGACCACTTCAAGGACGAAAATATACGAGTTGGGCACACGGACCCTTACGATAAGGGATCTGAGTTAAGCTTTAGGGTTTGGGGTTTGGGATTTTGGGATTTGGGGTTCAAGGGTTCGGGGTTTAGGGTTTAGAAATGGGATTGGGGTTCCTTTGACGGTTCTTAACAAGGATTCTGTACGAGTGGTGGGTTCTTTTGTGTGATCTAGGATGGTTCTTGTACTTGAGGGGTATTGAAATTGAGCTCAAGGTTGAGGGGCGCTGCAAGGCTTATGGGTCAGGGTACGCTTTAGGGTTTAGGGTGTAGGGTTTACGATTATAGGATTTAGAGTTTAGGGGTCCAGGAGCTTTCTAGGATGACGATGAGGGTGGCGCGTTTGGGGCTGATTGGTCGAAAGGCTCCTGAGAATCAAAGGGAACTCCAGAAAGTTGGAATATGGTTTCAGGGTAGAATACCCTATAATTCACCATAAAGGGCTGAGGATAATCATATTCCAACTTTCTGGCTTTTACTTTAGGGTGTAGAACCTTGGATTAGGGCTGGTGGGAATCATTCGAATTAGGGTGGCTCCTGCTTTAGAATCTTTAGAACTTTGGATTCGGCCTTAAAGGGTGTAGTTCCACAAAGAGTGAAGAACCCAGGATCAGAAGAAGCCCGGAAGATCCTCACCCGGGATTTAGGGTTTTCATCAAAAAACTGAGCTTTTCGTAGGGGGAGGGATGCTTACACACTGTAGGTTATTTATATAAATAAACTATAGGTTATTCTACAGGTTATTCTAGTATTATGGGGGGCGATGAAGGTATACAGTTGTACTTGCTTAGACCAGACATTTATGTAACATGGTCTTTGGAGCCCAGAAGCCTCATGCCCTGCGGGGTAAATTCATGTTAGCATTGCTTCAAAGTCCCAAACACCATACCCCTGCGGAGTGGGCATTTGGACCCTTAGGGTACGGTAGAACGGTTGGAAAGTCACCTGCTCCGCTGCTAAAGTCTGAATGGCTGGGTCGAGCAATGATTGCTGGCCTAGCTATGACTACAGGGATGCATAAAGCTGTAATTAAAAGTGAACTCCAAACCCTAAACCCCAAACTTCAAAATCCTACACCGCCTACACGCCAAACCCTACATCCAGATCCCTTGCACCCAAATTCTGAGGCCCGATTCGTAAGCGCCGAAAACAGGCAGCACTAGACCGTCACATGCCCAGAGCCTTACATGCATGGGCCCGGCCCTGCTACTTAAGAATTAGAACACCCAGAGGGTCCATACACACTACTATTATGGAATCAGGTCCCAAAAGACCATCCCTATTATGGTTTTGAGGACCTAATTCCATAATGGTAGTGTATATGGACCCTCTGCGACAGCAACCCTAGAATCAGCAACCGCTGGCAAACCCCACCTCCTACTACAAGCTTCTCTTAACAACAAACTAAACAAAGTCAAACTGTAGTTTCCGTTACCTCGAACCCCAAAACGCACACGGCAAAACAAAGGTCAACTATCCCTTCCCGGCGGCAGCCCGAAACCCTAAACCCCCGAAAACTAGCAACCCTCGACCCTGGAACCAACTGAGCCCTAAACCCTAAACCCCTAAACCCTAGACCCTAAGCCCTGAACATCTGAACCCCTAAACCCCAAACCCCTAAACCCTTTAACCCCTTAACCCTAAACCCCTACAAACCTTAAACCCAAACAAGCCCGGAGTGTCGGACTCCCCTCCCACACGGTGCCTTGGCTTGGAACCTTGTGCCCACGCGCCGAAGGTGGCCCTGCCAGGGTCTTCCTATTACCTGCACCACTAATTTAAATCTACAGGTAGGTAGGCAGGTAGGTACGTAGGTAGGTAGGTACGTACGTATGTCTGTAATTAGATATGTCTGTACGTAGATGTATGCACCTGGACACCTACGGCAGAGGTTCAAAGTCATGCGCTGCACTTGAAGGTGTTGGATTTTGGGTTTGCCTATAGTCTCCATTTTGGGGGTTACCTTCTAGGATCCTAATTATGTATTTGGTTAAACGAAAACAAGGAACTACAATGGAGACTATAGCTGGCATCTAGGGATTGGGGCTCCGAGTTTAGACACGTTTTTCGGTGCTGGGGGTCCCGGAGGAGACTTAAGCACCGT